AAAACTGATTTCTGTGAACTCTTGTCACGTTCTGTGCTTAGACCTGGGCCCGCTCTACCTGAAAGATATTATTAGGCCTTAATTTCAGTTTGAATCGAATTTCAAGGCAATCCTCATTGCAGTCTCCCATAATACCCTAACCACACGAACACGAGCATACTCACATTTCTGATCAAAATTCAATCGCTGCATTGAAAGGGTATTTAGGTTGTGGTTGCTGCTGCTTGACTGCTTGACTGCTACTTTGTTTTATGTTTATTTGTTTTTTTTTTGTTTTTTTCTGCAACTTTTTCGATTACAGTCGATCCTCGCCTCTCGTCATTCTTTGTGACTTCTTCTACAGTCTAGAGATTCTTGCACTTCTTGTGGGTTTTTTGTTTGTTGACTTACACACGCACACACACACACACACAAAAATCAAGGCCTCCAAGAGGCATCCTCCTACATACATGAGCCAGCAAATTCTGTGGATATTTTTGGGTAGCAGCGGGGCGAAATAACAATTTATTTAAGTGCTGATTCTATTTCTTTTAGGGAGGATCTGGAGGAGGATATTCTATGGAACAGATGACACCCAAAGCATGAGTTGAAATGCTGAAAAAATAATCCACTATACTACATATGTACAGTCGTTCATTTATTTCCGGCACTTCTTACGGATGCTACGATTTAGAAGCTAAGACTTTATGTCGTGGAACCTCAGCTGAGATTTACAGCTGATTCGGATGCCTGATGGTTGCTGATCCTCCCTTGACGTACAGTCACATCGTTTGAACACTCTCCCAGCTAACACCTATACACCATCGATTATCTAAAACTTATTTCTAATATAGAAAAATTCCATCCCGGCATGCCTTTATAACTTTAAATTTAATTTCCAAAAATTCTCCAGCTATATCCTAAAATGCAATTATCCCATTGCCATTGCTAGGGCGGGGGGAGGTTTGCCAATTAACTTTGGAATCAATGGATCAATTCAATTTTCATTAACAAAAGCAAACGAAACGACAACGAACAAATTATTTTCAATTGATTTATAGTCGCGCTGCCGCCCCCATCAACATTTTTTGTGCATTTACCTTTTAACAACCAAACCATCCACCCCCCCCCCCTGTCACCTGCCACCCTTTATCACTATTTCTTTTCCTTTTACCAGAGTATTACCAATTTTTTTGTGTTTGTTGTTGCCCATTGGGTGACGTCAAGTTTGTGTTGTCCCTTCCATTTCTCAAGGGTAAATGAAAAATCCATTAATAAATAAAAAGCTGCGACTCACCTGCAACGAGAGAGAGAGAGAACGAGAAAGATGGTTAGTAATGGTGAGACAGAGAGAGGGCAGATAGGAGTAGGTTAAAAAATAATTTCATTAAGTGCACAAACAAACAAACAAACAAAATAAAAGGGGAAAAAACTAAAAGAAAATACAAATAAAATTAAAAATAAAAAGGAAGAAATAATAAAAAAAAAAAAAACACGAGTTGGGAGTAGGGTAAACTGGCCAGCAAAATGGCGTCCATACACACACACACACACAGATACTTATAGAGACCAGTGTGAGTGTACACACATTGACACTAATAAGCTGCCCGGGTTTTGCGTGTGTCAACTTTTGCACTTTTTGCGCAAATGCAAATTGTGTAAAAAAAAAAATAATAATAATAAAAAAAATGAAAGAAAACATATTTTCACACGAGACCCACACACACACACACATAGTGCACCACACATACCAATACCATATTATGCCAACCCATTCCATCCCTTCTCATCGCATCTCACTCTTGCACACACTACACGCTCCAGCGATTCGTTCGGTGCCAAAAGGGAGATGCACATGCCACACCACACACATATATACGTATATATATATATATATACATATATATGGATATGTATAATGCACTTGTGTCTAGGGCTGGGACTATACTATAACTTCATTCCAATGGCCGCTGCTTTTGGCCCTGTTCTGTTGCTGTGCTGTGGGACGCACATGCACACGCCTACAAATTGATTGCAGAATGTGGAAAATGTGTGCGGTGTGTAGGGTGTGTTTAGGGTTTAAGTAGGGTCTATAGGGTGCTGGCAAAATGCAGGTAACCCAGGCACTCTGTGTGCTTGGATGTGTGTGCATATTGAATGTCTAGCAATAGTCCAAATATTTGTTGTACAGCTCCAGTCCCAGTCCCAGTCCCAGCCCACCCCCAATCCTCATCCACAGCAACACACACAAAACACGCAAAGCCCGAAAACAAGGCTCACAAAATTACACTGCAGCCAAAAAGGAGCGGCTAAAGAAATGCGAGGAAAGCTAAGAAAAATATCAAAATATTTACAAATATAAATCATAGCAGAGCTACGAGTTACGGCATCTTTGGCCTACAAACTCTGAAAATTTCATGCCCAAAAATTGCCAAAAAGTTCGTTGCTTGTAGCTACTTCATCTATTTTATACCCCCCAATTAGTATTTGTATTTTTTTTATGCGAATTTCACTCGTTTTGCTGTTCAAATTGTCACCATACGACATGCAGCAGCGCAACTCGGTCGTTTCGATTGCGATTTATGCTCGTCCGCTGTAGCCTTAGTTTATAACTTGTAACTCGCAGACTAAATAAATAAAAATAAATAAAATAAAACTCTATCTAAAAAAAGATTCTGAAATTATATTGCAGTTTTTTATAGCATCATTGAGGAATATTTCCGCGCAAAATCAATCTTAAGTCATGAGGAAATGTGGTCATCGTTTTAGCAGGCAATTTAGCAGATGAATTTCTGTAATTTTTGTTATTTGCATGATGTTTTCCTTCGGCTACTGTAGCTATGCATAAGATAAGTATTCGAGTTTTGTTTCAGTGTAGGTCAAAGAGTAGGCGTGGTATGGTTTTTGCGTGTCTGTGCCTGTGTTTGTGTGTGTGCGGATAGCAAAGGATGTGGGATAGGGTAGGCAGTAGGCAGTAGGGGTAGCTCAATTTCAGCTAAGGACAACACAGCAGGACCTAGAGAAATACACACACTCACACACACTCACTGCTTGCCCTGGCTGTGGCTCTTTCTCTTTCCTTTTCCCCTTTTCTCTGTTGCTTATTGCTATTCCTCTTTCTTTTCTTTGGCTGAAACGCATTTAATGGTCGAACGAATGGCTCCCCCCACCCGTTCGGTGTCGTAGGGGGTGGCTGTGAGCACAAGGGTAGGAAGGTAGAAACGTAGAAACGTAGAAAGGTAGGTAGGGGTTGGTTCTACTGCTTCAGCAGAGTCACGCAGCGGCGGTAAGGGTTGGCTTCGGCTGCCGCCTCCAGTGCGTGTGTCTGTGCTTGTGTGTGTTTTTGTGTGTGTGTGTGTGTGTGTGTGTGCGGGATGGCAAATAGTTTGCACCCCGCCCGTGCAAGCGGTGCGAGGGAGAGGCCTTGCCTTATGCCTACACGTTTAACCCATTGGCTGCCATTTTCAGGCTGCCATTTAGCCCATGGACACAAACAAGGCGGGCTGGGGGGGCTAGGGCCTCAACAACACCCATTGCTAGGAAATAAATGTCAAAAGTGGAAAGGGTGCAGGACAGAGACCCATAGTCCTAATAAGGAGACATTTTTTGGGAGGTTTGGAGGTACCCTTGAGTCTGGATTGATGCAAGGAGCATCCAAAAAAAAGGAAACACTAATGAGAACCATTTGGAATAGCAGAGAGATATTTGTGCATCCTTAATTAATGTCTCCTCAACGATTGCTAATTGCATGAGCATTCCTCAGCAATCAATATATTCCAGAGGTATTATCAACATATATTCTAGACGAATCTATAGCTTAACGGACATATATGCGGAATATATTTGTGTATTGTTGGCAAATAAATTTAAATCAAAGCCCCAAAAATACAAATAATTCAGCTGAATATAAAATATAGTTGAGATTTTCATTTCCGATTTCGTGTTACCTTTGAGAACTTGTAGCCAATTCTGGCTTGCCATAGTCCCTACTGTTTTTGAGGGCAGAGATATATGACTGAATGAGAGTATAGATGAAGTTTGTGGGCGGTAAAGAACGAAGTTCGTGGCAGCCTGAAGATGATATACAGCTGGCAGCTCTTTTTCATAGTTATGCTGGATGAACCTTAGCGAAAGTCACATCAGAAATAGAGGAGTGCTCTACGGGCACCTCCTTCTCTGTATCAAATAATTCTGAAATTTTTAGAGTTTATTTCGGAACTTCCACAAACGTTTTTGGCGCACTAAAACAACTTTAATTTAATTTAATTTTTTATTTTAAATTTTATTAAAATTACTTCTGTTTCTCTTTTGCTTCTTAGCTTAGATCTGTTAAATCAAACTCCCGTCTCCTTCCCACCACTTTTTGGTTATTTGTTGCTTTTTCGTTTCCGTTTTGTGGCATTCATTCGCATTCCCTATTCCTCTTTCGACTGCATTCGATGTGGCGCACGCGCAAAACGTGTTAGAACTTGTGAGAGTGAGACAGGGAGAGATAGATCGGCAAGCGAAAAAGCGAGAGAGAGAGAGAGAGAGAGAGAGAGCGAGAGCAACCGCAGAAAAAGAATCGTCGCACACACATGTTCCAAGGTTAAGCTCAAAGCTCGCTCAAGTGTGCAAAAAATAAACACAAACACGCACACACACACACACACAGCTCAGCGGAACAATGAGAGCTGGAACGAATGTAGAGTAAGATAAGCAGAGCGCGGGAGGATAGAGAGAGAGAGAGAGAGAGCGAGTGGAGCAGCTGTTATTTGGATGGAAATGAACAATGGATCTGCATTTACATTGCAACGAAAATTGATATAAAAATTGATTTGATTGATTTGTGCGCTTGAAGCAGCCAACGGCAGCTCGCAGTCTGCAGTTAAAATACATTTTTGGAAGTGAATTTTTCAGCTCATAAATGAATTATAACCATTGATTAACGACTGAGACAAAAGCTTGCCCCGTCTAGCATTTTTGAACACTTTTACACCCATACGAAGTAGTGCCCCTTGCTTTTATTTCATCTATCCTTTGCATTGCCATTCACAGTTCTACTCCAAAATAGACACACACAAAACGTAGCACAAAATTTGTCGTTTCTGAAATAATTCGTTTCTTTTTGTGTGTTTTTCCCTTAAATTCTCAGTGTGCAAAAACAAACGCAAAATATTCAAACAAAATCCAGAACGATGGCAAAAGAACAGCCGCAGCTGAGGGGTGGTGGGAAAGTGACAAGTGCGACGGCGGCGGCAGTGGTGCCAGAAAATGAGCGGAAAGACCAGCGGGCACGGCTGATCAAGGCGCTCGGACGATTCCGGCCAGACGATGCGAGTCCGCTGCAGTTCTACAATTGTGTGCGGGAGGTGTGCATCATGCACAATTGCAGCATCGATGAGGGCCTCGTACGGGCGGCCATACACTGGCCCAAACTTAGCATTAGACAGCGAAAGCTCTACGATTCGGTATGTCTATTGAACTGAGAGAGAGAGAGAGAGAGAGCGAGATCCTAATGTTTAACATTATTAATGTTTAATCATCTATTTTGTGTGTGTTTTTTGTCGGCAGCAACGACATGCAGAGCTGCCCATTCCAGTGCCGCGTCACCTCATCTATCGTGCCTTTGAGAAGGAGCGACACGGTCTATGGACATTGGGCCGCTGCTCGGCGGCCACCAATGGCCAGACAATGTACACGGTGGAGGCATACAAGCCGACGCCCAAGCCCACCAGGCTGAAGGCCCAACTGAACGCCAAGAGGCCCAAGTACGATAATATCCGGAGTCTGTCGCCCAAGAGTGCCGCCACCCAAAGTCTGCCATCGCAAAGTGTTCGAGTGTCGCCGGCATCTGGTCGCAGGATACGGACGCTGATGCCGCCGCCGATCCAAAGATCAACGGCATCCTTGCGTCGCATCTTGTCGGCGGTTAGCATTCCGCCGAAGAAGCTGAGAAAACGCAGACGCTTGAAGAAAAGGACACGCAAAAGTGGCAGCCCCAATAACCAAGAACCCAAGTCAAGTGCATCCAGTTCGGGCACAGGATCCCACTCTGGGAGTGGCAGTGGTAGTGGTAGTGGCAGTGGCAACGGCAGCATTGCCACCAACATCACTGGCAAATCCTCAATCAAGCAGAAGAAGAGTCTCAAGCCAAGGAAGAGTGCCAAAAAATCGATCAAAAGCGATCGAAAGTCAAGTGTGAAAACCAATTGGCATCTAGCCATCGGTGGCGTTCGACAGAATCTGACAAAGTAACCCCTTTACCCCCCACATACGATGGCTTGGTGGCTCCCGTCTGTGGTGGTTGTTCCTCTTCTTAAATGTTTTAACTTGTTTTAACATGCATGCATGTATTCCTTTTCCAAATTGATTGCACAATGAAAGAAAGTAAATTTCACTAGAAGCATTATTTATGGTTCTCGTTGTTGTTTAGTCGAGAATTTCAATCGATTTAGATTTCGATTTGGCAATCGATTTTTTGTAGAGTTTTTCGAAATTAATTTGGAATTTATGCGAAGAAAGTTTAATACGGTTTAGGCAGTGCATTTTTTATATATATTTATTATCATATTAAATAACAAAATATAATTAATATCATATAAAATAATATAATATATTTATTATTATTATATAAAATAATACAATATATTTTTTATTATATAAAATAATACAATAAAATAGAATCTCAGATATTAGTAGGTAGCACACGGGCAGGGAGTAGCTATAATTTTTGTGCGTTAAAAATTAAATTTAAGCAAAGTTTTTTTTGTGCAGAAAATGGATTTGTAGATTTTACCTTCAGTGTAATACATCAAAATGGCTGGTTATAATTTCGAAAAAATTTAAATTTGAGAGAGTTCTAATATGTGAGATTCAACTGTGCCAGGAAAAGAATTAAAAGTTCCAATAAAAACCTATCTGAAACGCCAAATGAAATACTATCAAAAACACTAAGTAGGCTTTAAATGCTACTAAAATGGCTATCAACAATACCTACTAGAAGTATGTATGTGATATATGTATGTGCGCTCCAAATCTTAAATCTTAAATCTGTAAGAAAATACCTTCAACTATAGCCCTCCCCTCGAAAATTTCGCCCATTAATGAAGCCCTTTGTTGGTTTTATTTAATTCTAATATTTATTTCATTATTTCCTATTTTATTTATGAGTGATTCTGTTACTGCTGCTACTGCCTTTGGGGGACTGCTTCTTTTTTAACAGGGGAGTGGGCACACAAAAGTCGTTTTGATGAACCGTTAGTTAGCCACAACTACAACAAAATAGCTAATAAAACATTAACACACACACAACTACTACTAAAGCCGCACGCAGAAAACCCGAAAAAAGATAAATGAAATCAGCAAACGCAAAAAAAAAAGCGCAAAAAAAAACCAGCAACAAAGTAAGGCCAGCTTTGGGGTGTCGCATCAGTTGATACCCTATCACAACCAATGAACTGATTCTGCATCGAGAGAGAGCCTGTTTGAAAGATCGATCAAGCATGATCCACATTTTATTTTCTTTGGATTTTTGCTATTTCCCGAAAATTAATGCTACTAATTATAAATTAAATATATGAAATATATCAAAAGCATGAAATTAAAAAAAAAGAAGATTGTTTGAATTGTCTTTGAGGCAACATTTCATTTTCGGATTTTTATGGTTTTGGTGTTTGTTTTTTGTTTGTTTTTTTTTTCATGCAGTTCTTGCACATGAAATTAATTGGAATACATAAATATGTGCACAGTAACGTATAATGTACCCAGCCTCTCTAGGGTATAAAAATTCGCACAAAAAAAAAAAAGAATTAAATAGTTTGCTGCCAATCGACACGCAGCAGAGCAGCGCTGTCGACGTCGACGTTAGCTGCGGCAGTTGAGCATTTGACCTAAATTTTGGGGACAGAGCTCTTCTGTTACTTATTCCTCTCCCTATCCCTCTTCCACTACTTCTTGTTCTTATTTTTTGCCTCGTTTTACTCATTCCTAACGCGCTTTTGTGCGTTTGCCCCCCAAAGACAAACACACAAACAAACAGCACAAAAAAATTTGCTAATTTCGCAAATGAAATTAAAAAAAAAAAGAAACAGAAGAAGAAACACAGAAACAGAAACACATTTCGATTCCGCATAGAGCATGAAAGAAACAGCAGCAGAAGAAGAAACACACAACAACAACAACAACAACAAAAAAGCAACAGAACAGCCTGAAACAACTGTACAAAAAAAAAGCAAAAATCAACCGAATTGCCTCTCCGGGTTGCTTTGTTTTTTTCTGCCTATGTGACGATCGTTTTTTCTTTTGGGGAATTCTTACAAAAAAGTTCTCTATGGGGAGGAATTCTCTTCTTTTTTTTATGGGGAATTTATGCGAACATTTTCGTATTCTACCTGTTCTGTGTTCTGTGGATGCTTAAGATCAGTGGGCAGATTTCTTCCATCAAATTTGGAACCAAAAGGATTCAGTTTCTTTAGTTCTTTAAGGAAAATAATTTATTCCCAATAATAAAGCCAGATTTTCAGATAGATATCTGAAGGAATCGAAGCAACCCAAACCTAAAATTTCCCTCTTTTACTCTTTGGTTTAAAATCTGGCATTTATCGCTCATAGAAAGGCCAACGATTAATAATGTTAATATTCCATATTTAAATACATATGTATATTCCATATGCAAATATATTGAAATTGAAATTATGGAACGCTTCAATCAACAAACACTTTTAGAATTCCCTTTTTCGTTTGATGAATAATATTTTGATGAAACTATAAATTCTGCCTCATAAAAAATACTTACATATATTCCGCAATAAAAGTTCTTGTATCATAGCTTCCTTTCATTACCCTAACATCTATAATTATTAGCTAGCTAGCTCATTATCTTTGTGTTCTTTGAAAAGTTTCCATGATCTTTGTCTAATCTTTTTGCATTTCTTAATGTTGCATTAATGTTTTCCATTCAAGGATTGTTCGTGTCTCTCTCTCTCTCTCTCTTGCCCTTTTTGCATAATTTCTTAAAAACTTTCTGTAGCTCTCTTCCCCATGCCCGTGCTGAAACTTATGAAACTTTTTGGCCTCCGAACCCGCTGCCACCATCTTAATCACCTACTACTGGCTTTGTCAGTGCCACTCATTTTTTTTTTCTTCTTTTTTTTTTTTTGCGAATTCAATTCGTGGCTGCTGCTTTGAGTCATCCATTGGCAGCAGTGTTACCTCCATTTCGTGGCTATCTATATGTATATGTATCTGTATCTATTCCTTTTATTTTCTTCTAAATATATAGCCGCTTACGCACAGGAAAACATTTTAGCTGGGCCGGGGTGGGGGCGGCAGCGTCATTGCCCGACGTCAGGGCGCAGCATTGCGTTGTATCTGTTGCCGTCATTACAAATTGACTTCTACATTTTTTTTTGTATTGATCTGCATTTGCGTAGAAGATGACAAAGGTAGCCTCCCGCACATTTATAGATTATAGATTAATCTTTCGTAAACCATAACTAAAGATATCTTAAGATTAATTCAGTTTTAAATAGAAATAAACGCAGAAATATGCTGAAAAAGTGCGAAGTGCATGAGCGATCAGTTTGCAGTTATGTACCCTTAGCGTATATATCTCTAAAATAAAGTATCTTTGTATCTGCGCATCTGTTTGTGCCATGTAGCCCCCACCCCGCCCCATGTATCATTGGAGATTCTACGCGTGTCTACCTACTCGCATACAATATGCAAACACACATTTCCGTGAGGCGCTAACTAGCCAAAAGCTGCCGCTAAACATAGTAGCATTAACTAGCTTAACCCCCACCCCTTACTGTCCCTTCTACTAGGTTTTTTGTTGTTGTTGTTGTTTGTTTGTTTGTTGGGTGCTGCTGCTGCTGCTGTCGCTGACTTTTGTTGTGTGTTGTCAAGCCGCTGTACGCTAGGCAAAAGTACAGCGCCGATTACGCAATGCGTTCGGCTGTGTTTCGCACTCAGATACAGATACAGATAGATAGAGGGAGACAGAGAGACGGCAACAGCAGCAGCAACAACAAAAGTTTTTGTTTCGTTTCCGCGATCAACGCGGTGCTCACACACACAAATACAAGCACACACTGAAATTCGCGAAAAAAAAAAAAGAATAAGTATCTTGTGCGTGCGACCCAATTGGAAATTTGGCATACATAGAAAGAGAGAGAGAGAGAGAGAGAGAAGAGAGAGGGAGAGAGAGTGACGTAGGGCAAAGAGGAAGAGCGAGAGAGAGTGAGTGAGGAACCCAGAAGCACAGCTGCTTGCGATGGAGCACACAACAGTTAGCAAAAAAACACACACACAGAGGCACACGAAGCAGTGTATCTGTGTGTGCAAAATAATACTCTAACCATGGGGCCAAAAAGGCAAATTGACTTTTCTATGGGACATGCAACATTTATGGCGAAATACACTTGATGAAAATCCGATCAAAGAAACTCCTCAATTTTGAAATTCTCTGAAAATATTCCTCAAAAAGGATGGGCACTGCCGCATGACGCGTGACGATTAACTTTAACTTTAACTCACTAATTAGAGCATTCCTAAATGCGTTGCGTTCATTTCTGAAATAGTTTTGTAGTTTCTGCCACAACTTAATTTCATGGCGAAATTAAAATTAAAAAAAAAATAGAGAAAATTATACCAACATATACATATATGTATATATGTATGTACATACGTACGTACATTGCTCATTTTTGGGGTCTGTGGGTCCCCCTCGCATCTGTGGGTCTGACCTTTGGCTTGACCGTGGGCGTGAATTGCGAATAGTTGCGAAAACCCAGAGACAAAATGGCACATAAAAAACACAAAAAAAAAAACAATGTTTCTAGCGGGCCCTGCTGGCTGTGTGTTGGTGTCGCGCACAGCTGAAATTCAATGCTATCTACACAGATACGCACATTCACACGCAATCTACACACACACACACACGCACACACTCTGGCACTGAGCAAATTAGTTCAGTAGGTGCGTTGCCATTGTTCCTGTTGTTGTTCTTGGGTTTAATTTTAGCTGAACAAAAAATATTTCTCAACATTTTGCGTGAGTGAAACAGAGTGACAGAGAGAGGGAGAGAGGGGTACAGAGAGAGGCAGAAGAGGCAGGCTGGCAGCGGACAGAGGAACTATAAAAATTCGCACATATCTGTCCTTGACACACATTGCGTATACGCAATCTACGCAGCCGGCTTTCGGCGGCCCCCGGCGCGTACCGGCTCTTCCATGTTGATTTTATTTTGTTGTTTCTTTTTTTATGAGTGCGTGCGAATTTTTTTTGCACATTTTGTTTGCCATTTTTTTGTGTGCCTGCGTTTGACCTACATACGAAATCTAACAGATACAGATAACATATGTTTTCCCCCACCCCTCCTAGACATGGAATATTTTTTTTTTTTTGCAA